TTTAGAATTTCCAATGCACAGTCTCATGCTGGAAATAAAAATGTTTTTTCACCCTGTACAGTGTTGCCATTGCTCGCTTTGAAATCATTGAGTTTTGTTAATCAAAAATTCCTTAAGGTGTTACAAAATATGAAATCGAAAATTAAACACATTCCAAATTAAAGCTTCCAGATGCTGATATTTGGTAGAGGATTACGTTATTCTGTTGTTTTATCGCAATGCAAGAAACATACATTTATGCAGATTCTTCATTATTTAATTTCTTTAAATATAACACAGGGCGATAATATTTGGTGGCAACAATTTGAAAAATGAAATGGACATTTAAAGTTTTCAACACAAAATGCTGAAATGAAATCAATACAACATAAATCTCCAATTTCTGTATTACGAAGAATTTCTCTCCATGATCGAACCACTGTTATTTATTCTACTTTTGACTAAACTTTTATTACTTTTTATGTGGCATCCGATACAGTAACCTTTTTCTGGAACTTCATATTTCATCTTCCTCATCAAGAGTTGTGAGAAAACCAATCACGTGTATACACCACAACACACAAAAATCCACTAACCAGACAATCGAGAGTATACTGTATTTCTAATTTAATAAATTTATATAATTGTCTCCAGCTTCAGTCTTCTTGTTAGTGCTACATATTTGTTTTTAAATGACTTTGAAGTTTAAGGATCATATTTACTTTTTTGCTATTACATATTTCATTTTATATTGAGACTTTGCTTTTATATTTTTATGCACAGAATTAATTTTTTTTTTTTTTTTGTGGAACAGAAGATAGTGGCAATGCTCTCCTAAGCTATTTGTCTATTGTTCTTCCTTGAAGATTAAGAATATTTACTCATACTTACATTATATATATATGAGACAAGTGGAAAAACTATAGCATAGGCCTAAGCAATCTATATCCCGTGGGTCACTATTTCATAATTTCAAGTACGCCAGCAACTTATAACCTGCACGTCACCCATTTCATAATTTCATGTGACCCACTCGAGTTCTGAAAATAAAGTGTAGTATATAAAAATAAATTATAAAACATTAATACGAAAGGAACGCTTGAAGAATACATAATAAACCAAAAGTAAGTAATAATTTTCTGTTTGATTCTGAGCTGAAATTGTGCTGGAGCCCGGCTCCGGTACTTCTTAGTTTTTGGCATAAATCATAATTCTAGTCAAAGTGCACCAAAGCCCTAAATAAGAAGGCTTCGGCACTTCTTTTATGTAACTGAACAACTATTTCAGAAGAAATTTTGATCTCGAAAATTAAATTTTTTTGCAATAAAATTATATTAAAAAGCACTTATAAAATTTTAGTTTATCTCTTTACATTTAATTAAATAATTATTAATTTGACAAGGAACTATTTAATTTTGAAAGATAATGAATTAATAGTAATTTTTTTATTTATTTATTCGTTTCTCTTGCTAATGGTCCTCCATAGGGCTCAGGCTCTTCTAATTTCAGAAATCAAGCCCTGGTTTGATTGCAAAATTGGAATAACAAATATGCATTTTCATTTTTAAAAAATGAAAAAAACTAACATAATTTCGAGGACAAATCAATAAGATTGACAATGCCAATCTGTAATTAATTATTAAAAAAAAAATTAGCTTTGCCATTTTGTCTGCATTCGGTTCGACTTATAAATGTAAGCAAGTATTTTCACATATGAAATATATTTTAAATAAAGAAGAAAAGCTAAACTGCTGAAATTTCAGATGCTCCTTCTTAAAATGATTAACCATAATGATTCTTAAAATGATTAACCATAATATCCTTCTTAAAATGATTAACCATAAGCCTAAATTGACTGTTTCGCATCAGTGGAGCCATTGATATTGAAGAAAAAATAAATGCTCATTCAGTTACATTTATTTTTATAATAATTATAATTACAATTTAAATTTTTATGTTTAAAATTTGAAGCATATTATAATTATTCTCAATAAAATTTATCTTATTATTCACCAAAAAAGACCACTGACCAGAAACATCATCTTAATACACATTTTGGTTGATTTTGGCCGGCAGGCATAAATAGGTTGTTGACATCTGTTATAGCATTTCTTTCCTGCATAAACAGATTTTCTTTCTCACAGAATAGTGACTATTTTAAAGAAAAGCTATGAAAGTTTTTAAAAAAAGTATTTTTACATTTTGGAAATCGGTGTCCACCACGCTGGGTGATGACAGTCTGTACATGTTGTGGCATTGAACCATACAGGTTCTGAATGTAATCCTGGGAAATGGCAATCCATATGGCTTCGACCTGTTGTGCCTTCAAGAAGGCTTGTGCAGCCTGAGAAACATGTGCATGGGCATTATCCTATTTTGCTGAAATACGGTGCCCAGAATGCTATGAAGAATAGGGAAGACTTTTAGCTGTATAACTTCCCATATTTAGTGATCAGATGTTGAGGTTGCCTGCAATCTGCACTTGATGTGATCAAAAATTATACCCAATAGCTCCCTACACCAGTTTGTGCAGTATGACACTGGATAACACATGGTAGAAGCAGACATTCCCCACTGTAAAACATCTGATGCATACTTTTACATCACTGTACTCCAGATTGTATGGATAGTCATTGGAGAAAACAAATTGTTGCCGCAGAGCACGCCACACATTGTGTAGCTGTGCCCATTGAAGTCAGAGGCATTTGTGATTCAGCAACATGGGAATCCTGCATAACGAAACCCTTGCATGCAGTTCATTCTGCATCAGATGGCGACGTAAGGTGAAGTTAGACAACATAACACCTGTAATCATGCTCCAACACTGTGCTGCACACAAGAGGATGCCGTATGATGCATAACAGCGATGTGGATGAGGTGTCTGTCATCTCGTGTCGTTGTGCTATTGCATTCCCTACTGCCAGGATTTCGCCTTGTTTGGTTCTTTTCTGTCCATTTCTTCTAAACATGCATCACTGTAGTGGCATTACACTGTGTGCATTGCTCGATACAAAAGTACACCCTCTCATATACCTACGATGCGGTCTCATTCAAACTCCACTAGCTGTTGGTGTGGCACTTTTGCTGTTGACAAGGCACACTGACCACTAGTTAAATGTTCACCACAGACAGAGGATGATAAACAGATTTCAACATAACTTTACAGTATGTTATATACATGGAACAAGCATCCGGTTCTCATTCAACTCATGCACAATCACTTTGTAATTCTAATCATTTGCATGTCTTACCTCACTTTAATTTTCCTGCAAGTTTGGTTCAATTTACATAATTCCTTCATGGTGTTGCAATTTTCAGAAACGTTCGTGTATATGTGTCAAAGGAAGACTATAGTTTGTAGATACAGTACATTTTTTAGCTTTATAATTAGTTCTAAAAAAGTATGGCTTTCGATGTTTAGATATTTCTTAACATAATCTACTACTGCTTAAATCAAATTCGGTTGGAATGTTGACCAAAGTTTGCATCGGAATTACTGCACAGACCTTTTCAATCTCATCTCAAAATGTGGCCACTGCACACTGCATTTTCTATATTAAACACAGGTTAAAAACCAGAGATACTAAGTATGAAAAGTGTAGTATGTTTTATAGGGGGGGGAGACTCAGTCTGACCTCTTTATCCTATACACTATCCTCGAAAATTCTGATCAAAGTATACTCTCAGGTATGTATATCATTGATTTATTTCATTTATCATTTTAAATCTACATGTGTCATTTTGAAGTGTCCAGATAATTTCTTCTATGGTAAGACCTCCCTAAAACATACACATGCAAAAAAGGAATCCAATTAGCACTTTACATGACAGTTCACATCAGACATTGATCCTTGTGTCATTGGTAATCAGTACAATAATGGATAGATTTTCTGAAATGCAGTATGCACATCTACGTCTGTTGACAGTTCCATGAGATTTGAATTCTGCTTCATCCAATCACATTACTTTCTCCACAAATTATCATATTATTATTATTATTATTTTGCACCATATCTCAGTGCAAAATAATCTGGTTTTTGCACACAGATGCACGCACACTTTCCAGTAGCTTTGTTAAAATGTGTTGTGAACTTGTTGCACTTATATTTCGCACACGTACATGCTATTTTGCGAATTTTTGAGGCATAAACTATTCCAGCACCTTAGGTGAGAAACAGGACTGTGCGAGATCTACTTGATCTCATTTTTGTACATCATGCACTGTACCAGTATTTGCAGAAATTTTTTAGCTAAGGTAGCGAAAGAAGAATAAGTTGCAAAAAATAGCATGTGATGTTAGAGATATGCAATTTTGTGCCATCATAATTCGTAAGCTAACGATCTTCACTGCCATCACAAAGTCAGTTTCTGACAGCTTCACAGGTTATGGATTATAATTTAATTACCAGTAGTTACACGAAACATATTAGTTTTCACAAAAACTTTAAAAGCAGATTCCTAATTTTTCATTGTTTAAATATCCATTTTTCTTTTAATTAATTTTCAGTTAATTTAGGTTATTTTTGTTTAATTTATTATAGCCATTGTTAGATGTTTTCTCATGTTTGAAAAGTTAACATTGTTGTACTGATTCTTTTGAGCATTATTTCTTTATTCATTGTTTCTTGATTTACTTTAATTGTTAATGCTTTTCAGTAAATATTCTGCCCTGATAGTTGAACTTACTTTACTTCAACTAATGTTTCAATTTTTAAGTCATTTTAATTGTTTAGTTCTTAGTAATGTAATCAGGGGAACAAATTTCAAATATATAGCTAAACAAGCCCTAAACATTTTTTTCCCCCTCTTCTGAATGGCGAGCACACAAGCCCTAAACCAAAAAGTGATCGATCATCTTAGAACTTGGAAAACTAATACAAAAACAAAACTTACACAGTAATAAAATTTACCATGTAATGATCCTCCTTTTTATCTATTAACTAAGTGTGGAGGAATCAGGTGAAAAGATAGGACTAAGCGAATAATCGCTTAAGTCCAGAAACAGAAACATAAAACTCAAGAAGGGTTAATTACCCTTTATTGCTCAAACTAAAGGTGTACAGACAGTTTCTTTCTCAGGATGCATAACAAAGCCTCCACTTGAGCTTAAACTCAAAAATATAAGAAATAAGAACTTAACACAATTTCTAATTAATTTAAATTAGCTAGCGAAGCTATCAAGGGCACGCAATACTGCTGAATGTAGTAACAGCTTAGAGAAACATAGTCAAAGGGCAAATGCACGCTATTCAGGAAATTGAATTCTCTCTACCAAAGTCAGTGGAATTCCGACTTAAATACTACTCCTTCTCATTTGCATTTAACGCGATTCTAAAAACTCATTCTGGTAAGAATTGTAAGCTGAAATTAGGAAGGATAGAAAAGTGTGACAAACTTTAAAATAACTGTTATAAACTTAGGATAAACCTTACAACCAATATGTATTAACGTACATAACTTTGTTCTGCATTCGTTTTGAAATATTTTTCTTTTATTACTATCATTTTTATGGAGTTGGCACATCTATCAAGAACAAAAAAAAATTTGCGAGTCCAAAGAAAAATTTTTAAATCGCCCTTTACACAAATGTGAGGCAGTTTGAGTACAAATTTTACGATTGTTTTGGTAGTAATTTTTGAAATTACATATATTGATAATTTTTTAGATCTGCTTTCAGTCACATTTAGAATAGTACTACAAATACATCCTATAGTAAATAGGATTTACTATAAACAAATTAATCCTGACAATGAAAGAATGCAAACTCAAAACATTCCAAATTTTTTTAATGCTGTTAAAAGGCAAAACTTGGCAAATCTAAAATATCAGTAAACCTTTTAATTTCATATCATATTTCATTTTATGCAAATGCAATTTTTTTCATTTGTTCTTTTAAATCAATAAGAACTGTACAAATTTTGTCCAAATGTTAAATTTATTTTAAGGAAGAAGAAAAAAAAATTCTTGAAAGCATTTTATTATACATTATACAGTTATGGTACTTAAATTATTGATACAAGAAATAATAATTAATTCTTGTGTTCATGAAATTTTCTAGTTAGAGGAAACTAGTATCCTTTAATGTAATCTCATTTTTAATGTTGCAAATAAATTTATTTAATTATAAAGTAAAATTTTTTCGATTCAATATTTTAAAATGTGCAATAAATTAATGTAACAAAATTTGATACAACCAAAAAATAAATGCCATGGAAAATTTCGATATTATATCGAACATTGCCCCATTTTAAGTAAATGCACATCTCTTCAATTTCATTCTACTTAATACTGAATTAATTAAAAAATAATATTCATGTTGAAAAACATTTTTCAACAAATTAATTTATGAGGACAGTAGTATATTTCGAATATCATGTCCAGTTTCCCAAGGTACTACTGCAGCATTTACATCTTTAGCTGGCATCTTTTCAAGAGATCTTAATAAACGATAACCCACTCTTGCAAAAACATAATCGCTTGGTCTCAATTTAAGAGCTGGACAAACATCATTATGTCCATCACCTATATACAAAATCCTACAAAACTGAATACCTTCAGACATTTTTTGGGATACATAATTTTGTAAAACTAAACCTTTACACAAATTAGGTGGACACCTGCTACAGCTATTCTGGTTTTGAAATTCCTTGATATGCAAACAACCGTCAGAATCAAATTCTGCAGGATTTGTAAATACCTTACTAACAACACTATTTAACTGTTGCTGATGTAAAAAACACTGTATAAAAAACATATTAGCATCAGACAGTATAATTATGTCACTACCACCATTTTCATAAATTTCAAGTAATAGATCTTTCATTCCATCTACCATAGGTAATTGAGCTAGACGATTGATATAATCTTCTTTAGTAACATTTTTCTTGTGTAAATATTTAAAGAGTTCTCTCATGTATGTTGTCCATCCATTTGGCACTTTAGATAAATTTTCAATGTCCTCCGGGATACCTTCACCATTGGCTAATGCTTTCATCCAAAGGTCAGTATTACAGTCTACCAATGTATGATCAAAATCAACACAAACTAAAATTTGCTGGATCTCCATCTGTAAAATAAAATGTTTTAAACACACAAAATTTAAAAGCAAGTGAATGTTAAAAAATATAATTTGAAATGCAATGTTTTACATTATATTGAAAAATTAGAGCACTTCATTTTTTGCCCATTATTTTAAGCACCTAATTATTTGTTTTGTTTATAAGAGAATGAATAAGACAAGTGTCCTTTTGAACTTTGGCAAGCGATACCTCTGCTTCGTCAGTTGGGTCTTCAATTGTGTCTTGTTCTTTACTCCCCTATGGATATTACATCAATTAACACAGAAATTATTATAGTATTATTCATTATTACAGAAATGGAAATACCTGTACTGATCAGAATTAGAATTATTTTAATACAAATGAATCTAATTTTTGCCAGTTTCCAAAAAGACTATCCGAATTTCAATTGGTTTGTTTATTTTGAAATAATTTTATGAATTTATTTACCTCATGTAGCCTATTTTAAAATCAGGATTCCATGTTTATTATTTCTTATGAAAAGTTATAATTATATTAAACTGGATTTATTTTGATGGACTTCTTAAAGCAAAAGTGACTATATTCACATAACACATGAAGAAAACCATGTAGCCAGCCTGTTTGCTGGACTGAGGTACCAGTGTTGAGCGGTCTTATCTGCTTGACATTTAGTGGGTCTTACAGTTAGAATTGAACAAATCACACCGATTTCTAAATATGCATGCCAACTAAGAAATTTTTTTTGTTTTGTTTCTATGTATGAAAGGTGAACTGATTACACTTAAATTTTCTCACCATTTGCAAGGCAATGAAAACCATGAAGAACCCTAAAGCAATGTCTTGCTTCTCTGCCAATGGTAAATGTCAACTTTTCGTCATAAATATCTGTTGTACTTTCTTTAACCAAAACAATACTAAAGTTATCGTCCACAGTACTTAGCCATGAATTTAGATCCATGATCAATGCTTTTACAAATTGAAGAAATCTATATTCTACAGACTGCAATGATTTTCCTTTTGTTTCTTGCACTTTAAATATAGCCACCTATGTCATTCATTACAGAAATTGAAAGTACTTCTATCATTTTATCAGTTGTCTCCAAAATCCTTTCATATAAGTTGTATTACAAGACATTCAAGTAGACAGAAAAGCTGTGACTTTCTTCATTACCTTCCAGTAAGACTCACTTATTTAAAAAATAAATTAAAAAAAACTATTGTTTTAATACAAAATTCAACCTTTTTTTACTTTTACTATTCATGCGCAATGGGGAAAACCCTCTAAAATCTGAGCCCACACCTCCAACTATAAGTCTAAAGAGGCTCTTAAACTGACCCTGTTGATAACTTCAAAAACGTTATTTTTTAAAATTCATTGAGATAATATGTTTATTTCCTTATATCAGAAGTTTCAATAATCATACTGATAATGATTTACTTATAAGTTTTTCCAAATTATTTCATGAAATCCAAACATATACGATAATTATTAAAACTATTATTAATTATGTGCCAATCAATGTATTAAAGATTTAGATTTAAAAATGTAAGAACAAAATGAAATTTTATTTTAGTTTGGAGACAATGTGAATAAACTGCTTATGTTACTCAGGAACTTAAAAAAATCCTACGTAAAAACTGGCTTACCATTTTAAAATTTAATTACGAGAGAATTTTTTTTCCATTACAGGTGGATGAATACATAATTGTAAAAAAAAAAAAAAAAAAAAAGACCTTACATAAACTCTAGAAAAAAAATCTTTTATCTAAATATATTATGAACAATATAAAATAACGGCTAATCTTTGAAATATGGTAACAGGTAGTTTGGCGACATTTTGGAGGCAATAAAGGTTACTACCTAGGACTTTGGGAATAATGTGAGAAGTACTCAGTTCCGATTACCCATTATTTTGTGTGAGAGATCATGAGATATGTCATGTGACATTAATGGACGAATCACTGTTCTTTAATCGGAAAAAGGGGTAAATTCGTAAAAATATCTGCTGTGCTTTATAGTATTAGTTTCATTGTATGTTCTGTGAAACAGTGTTGTTTAATATTTGGATCCCATAGCCCTATATAAAGTAAATCCGAAATTTTTATTGCGTTTATGTGTAATCGAAAAGAATTGCTTAATTGCGGATAAGTATGAATGTCCAACATGTGGGAATGAAATGAGATTGTGTGAAAGGAAGGATATTACAGATAAGTTTGAATGGCAGTGCAAGAAATCTGGTGAAAATGGACATTTTGTGATCCGCCATGCACTCAAGATTCTGGAGATTAGGTAAGTTAGTATTTTTAATTATTTGAGGATATTATTTTTATGCATTGTTCTAAATGTAAGGAGTAAATAAATTAATATGGTATTATTAGAAAATTGTTATTAGCAATCATTTAGTTTAAAGTAATTAGGATTGTAAGCTAATTTTTATTAATTTAATGTATGTGCTAATTTATATTTTAAGTAGTGTTTTTTAATTTAATTAATATTTTAATTTAATGATCGTGATTTTGAGAGTTGTATGTTTGTAGTATTTTGGAATACATTTGAGTAAAAGTAAATGTGCATGGAAAGAATTTAAGTATTTGACACTAAGTATTTAAAACCATTTTTAATGTTTGCATTATAAATTGGCAGGTGAAGTTTATAATAGATAATTTAGAGGGAAAAGTTTTTGGATATTTTATTTATTTTATACGTGCAATTGTTCATCCTTGGAAAGGGTATATACTTTTTCGCGATGGGGTAATTTCATATTCCTTTTTCCTTTTTACCGAATTTAAAGATTCACAAAATTTTCATGCATTTTCGTGAAATTTTTCTAATTTATGAGAAAAAAGCAGTGTACATGGATATAGTGAAGAGTGTGCGCAATGCCATTTTTGTGCAATTCTGAGATGCTTTCTTAAGTAAAAATAAGTCGACGTGTACATGGTTTAATTATATTTTAATTAAATGATAGTTATTTTGTTAATTATATGTTTGTAGCAATTTGGTATACGTTTGAGTGGAAGTAAACATGCATGGAAATAATTTAAATATTTGACACTAAGTATTTGTTATGAATTCGTTGGTGACGTTTATAATAGATAATTTAGAGGTAAAAGTTTTTGGATATTTTATTTATATTATACGTGGAAATGTTCATCCTTGGATAGGGTATATACTTTTTTGCGATCAGGTAATTTCATATATGTGCTTTTTACCAAGTTTAAAGATTAACAAAATTTTCCTGCATTTTCGTGCAAATTTTTGTAATTTATGAGAAAATAGCAGTGTAGATGGATTAAGTCAAGAGTGTGCGCAATGCCATTTTTGTGCAATTCTGGGATGTTTTTTTTAAGTAAAAATAAGTCGACGTGTACATGGTTACTGTGTATGTGCAATTTTGAAAAACGCGGCAAGAAGTTTGCAATTCTGCACTTTTTCCCAATTTTGCAGTTAATATTTGTCATGATTAAGCAGTTTTGTTCCATAAAATTTCTAGCATAAGTGTAATTTGGCTAGCAGATTGTTGGAAAAAGTGTTGAGTAAATAAAAAGAAAAGAAACATGTCTTTACTTCGTGAAGACAAAATGGGGGCAAAAAAAATAGAGGGTTGCTATAGCAGAGTTGGTCGCCAAATTTTCGCCAAAAAATCACCAAGTTACCATAATCCAAAGATTCACCAAAATAACTGACAAGATGCATTCATTTTAGAAATTGCATTTCAGAATTTTATAATGAATTTTAAAATCATAATAAATAAAGAAAAAAGGCTGAGCAAGAGCTAGTTTTTTAGCTAACATTTCCTGTATGGCTGGTTGTTTTCATGCCAAAAGTTTTAGACTTTCACTTGAATCCTGCCTATTTTTCTACAACTATATTATAAAAATCCAATCCAAAGTAATATGATCTGGATGAAAGTAAATATGGCTCCATATGTCATATGAGTAATAAATGTTGTTTCATTAACCTTAGAAAAGATTATTAGCAGTTTTATTTTACTGTGTATATTCATAAATTCTACCTTACACAGAACAAAATAATTTGAGTTCAATAAGAATACAGTATTTTATGTCTGTAGTAAATTCTAATGGTCTAATGGGTCAAGTAGTAAAACAACTTTTCATTTTTGTAACAAATTTTATATAATAAATAAAGCTTGCACAATTGCACACAACACAAAAAAAAAAAAAAAAAAAAAAAAAAAAACATCCTGAAACTGATACATTAAAATACACACTGATAGCTAAACATGAATTAAAAATTAAAAAAGATGAAATAAATTTTAAAGAAATTGTTATTTTCTCATAAAGAAATGAAATCAGCATATTTTATTTCCATTAAAACGATATTCTATTTAGTATGTCCATAATTTAAATTTTGCCTTTCTACATTTCTACACTCTTCTGTTTGCCCAAGTTTCTTCAAAATATTAAGATACATAATAACACCTTAGAATCATAAATAAGTAAAGATATCAATAGTTTTGAAGAACACTTTCTTCCCTTTTAATAACAGTTTAATGAAATTTAAATTTTCCTTGGCATTTTAAAAATTTATTCTTTACATTTGATTTAAACCGCTACCTTTCCTAATGAAAAGAAGTACCTTTTTTGGATTTTAAATAATTCTGCATGACATAAAAAGTTCTGAATCAATAACATACACATATTTTTATCCAGCCGAAAATATACTTCATTCTTTAAAGTTTAGAATGATTAAAGAAGACTGACTGAAAGGCTACAAAAAAGTTAATGTACTAATGCAATTAAAACGCCAATAAACGTGATATGATAAATTCCACAAAAAGCAAAATTAAATTACAAACAGGAAGCATAAAGCAAAATTATAAACTTTAATTTTACAGTGCTCCACCAAAGTGACACAGTAAGGACAAAAAGAATCGCAACCTTTGGCTTTTGAGGGAAAAAAAAAATGTTAGCTACTTAAGCATGAACTTTAAGGCATGACTTTCCAAACTTTTATAAATAAGAACATAAATAGCTTAGTACTATTTAAGGTAATTTTTACGTAAAATTATCATAGAATACATAAACCCTACTGACACAGGAACAAAATGTAATTGGCATAAACGTTTTTAATCACCTTACTCTTTTGCAGCAGACGACTGCCAGCTGATTTTTATATATCTAATAAAGTACAATTTGCAGTATTCGTTGTTGCCACTCAAATATTGCAACAGTTTTAATTCATGATAGATGCTCGCGTTGAAAAGTATACAAATGATTTCCACGTTGTTAGAGGCGAAAGACTAAAGACAAATTAAAATTTTAATAATTATCAAAATTTAACCTTCGTATGTCTTTCAAAATACAAAGGACTTTCATTTTAAATCAAGGCCAAGGATCGGATTATGTGGCTTGGTTAAAAACCTGCACACTCTTTTGCGATGATGCACTGACACACCACCTTCGGCTTCCAAAATGTCCATTCGTTTACCATGAGCAATATATTTCTCATTTTACGAATTAAAATTATTTATTTTTCATGACAGATGTAGGTCTTCATGCATTTTTTTTTAAAGATCATAGTCCCGCATATTCTTCGGTTAGACTACCAGAGAGTAGTAAAGCTAAAGTGTACCAGAGTAAAACTTTTACAGGCACACTTGGTAAAAAATTGTTCCACAAGAAAGCAAGCAGCAACCCTCTTTATACTTTTCTTTTATGATTTAGGCCAAGGCCTATTCTATCCTCCTTGGTTTAGACCTTCAGTCCTCGTAAGGTGCTTTCTCTCATCAGTTCATGTTGAACCGTGATTTATATTCCATGATTTATATTTGTTAACGATATTCAACAGCCGTTATTTTCCTTTTATTTTAGACGGAGTTTTTTTTTTAATTTGGCAACAGTAAGGAAGATTAGAATAATGTTTTGATTTCCTTAAGTGCGCAAGCACATAAAGTTTTGGCTTTCTAAAGCAAGAAAATGTAATTGTTTATTTAAAATATTTCTTTTCAAGAGTTATGGAATGAAGTCAGATTTAATTTAAACGCGAGAATGACTGAATGAAATAATATTCAGGTAGATTCAACGCGATAAGCCGTATTCATAATCCAGCAGCCACGAATGCTGTTGATCCTGTAATGATTCCTGCGACTAGAATTTTACCTGAGACAGTTACTGTCAGATGGTTCGAAATGTACAGGAAAAATTCCGTCCGATATGGACTGTTTTATTCGTGATGATTGGGTAATGCAGATGTTTATGTCAACTAGCTTCCCGAGAATATCATATTTTAGATACTGTAAATCAAAGACATGGACTCCCCAGATTGACGAAGACATGGTCTTCCCGTGTTCCTCTAAAATCAGGTCAGTGAAACTCGATGTGAATCTGTCATAAGTGTGAAACCTTTTAGTGAATATACATTAGCTAGAAGTTACTTATTTAGCCAAACGCATTAAGGCTTTTTCCAAACTCTTATTAACTACCCCAACTTCCGACTAAAGAAAAAATGGCTCAGACAATACATTTAATAAGCTTGACGATATCCAGTGGCAAATAAATATTCTCTTTTTTTCACGCAAAATTGAATGGAGTGCTTGGGCACGAAACTCAGGCTCTATCGCAACTGGTTGTAAAATTTATAGTTATTCATGGATCTGAGTGATTCGGTTATAAAATACTGAATTTCAAAATTAGTTCATTACTATGATAGCTCACTAACATGACAACAGTTCAAATGCCCAAGAGATGCACTCAGGTTCATTATAAAATCTCACATGAACGGGGAGCTCTTGCAGAAAGAACAACATAACACAAAAAGAATGCGCATGTAAGGCAAATCAGATCAGAACACGCAACCGAAAATAAATTAATGTGGAAAGATAAACATCGAATAGTTTCATAAGTGAAATGGTATCTAGATGAGGAAGTATTTTAAATAATACAAGTGTTCAGGTTTTGGCAAGCTCAAATAAAAAAAATCATTTTGGACAAATCAAGAAATCAAACATTTATTGCGGTCTCCTGGTTCCTGTAATTTGGAAAGTTTTATTCTCGTCATGAAACAATAAAAGTACAGGATGTTTTACTCATGTACAGTCGGTCATAAAAGTATTCGAATATCGGTACCCATCTCGAAAATACAATTTCTAGGAAAAAACATAGCAGTCAATCTTGGTAAAACTACTTTTCTCTCAACTTAAATGCGTTTCTTTTCATACTTAAATGTGTTACGGAAACTTTGGAAAATTGCTTTAGTTTAAGATACGTCAATAACCGTGGACATCTGAGTTTGAACCGGAGATGCTAGAATTGTGAATAACTCTGGCTATTAGTTATTACAGTGGATTCATCATAAATTCCAATTCAATATTAACCTCCCTTACTAATGAAAACCGTTTAGATAAAATGAATTCAGCGAGGTCCAACTTTTCCAATAAACTCTTCAAACTTGTAAAAAAAATAAATCATCATAACATTGGGTAAGACATAAAATTGTAAAGGAAGGCGTATGCTTGGAGTTGGTTGGGAAAATATTTTCAGAGCTTGGAGAAATTCAGAGTTTCACTTCAGATCACTGCGTGCTGTTGAAGATGTAATACAACATGATCCTCCAGCATGGATTCTTCATAATGGAAAAGTAATAATGGATTTTTCTCCAAGCTCTGAAAATATTTTAAAACCAACTCAGCCTTCCTTTAAAGTTTTATGTCTTTGTTATGATGATATATACTTTTTTTTTCATGACAAGTTTGAAGAGTTTATCTGAAAAGTTGAACATCCAAGAACTAAAAAACAAAACATCAGCTATAGCCAGAAAGGCCCGCGCCTTCCAAGGTAAAAACTGGGGTCAGAATCATCATATTCAGAAGATCCTCTACCATGTGGTAGCTGAAAAAATAGTCTTGTATGCTGCTGCCGTATGGGCCCAACCGATGGGAGGGCGAAAGATCAAACATCTTACATCTCTTCAACGACCATTCGCCCTGAATCTCTGTAAAGCGTACCGCACCACAGCCACCAGCTCAGCGACAGTCCTTGCAGGGCTCATTCCACTCCACATACGGGCAGAACAAGAGGCAGTGTACACCACCCTCATATACCTCCGCAAAGATGCAACATTTGGCAACATAACATACAGCCCTCTGCAATTTCAAAGCCCAGGTAACACTCTTCACACTCATCCTGCACGTAAAGGCACAGGAATAAGAATTAACATTTCACGGATACAGCCACTGTCAATGACGCGAGTTTTAAGGGATACGCAAATATACACCGACGGCTCTAAGCAGGAAGATGGAGTAGGCAGCGCCTTTGCACACTATGACAAAGGAAAAATCATCCATGTATGGAAAGCACGCCTTGACTTAAACAACAGTGTGTTCCAGGCGGAGGTGCAAGCAATTATAACCGCGGTAGATTACATTTTCAATAATAATATAGAACGGGCGAAAATTTTCACTGACAGTATGTCAACGCTTCTAGCACTAGATAATCACAACCACACCTCGCCCTTGATCATCAAATTACAACAACTTTTACAGCGCAACCCGCATAAACATCTCTCCTTAACATGGATCAAGGCACATGCAGAAAATGAGGGGAATAAAGCAGCTGATAGCCTGGCCAAGCAAAGCAGCCACTGATCCAGAAGCTGAAAAAAATCACAATCCACCAGCCCCTCCTTCCTACCTCAAAGGGCTATTACGGGGTCAAGGCCTAAATCTTTGGCAGGAAGACTGGACGCACTGCACAACTGGAAGACGTACATACAGCTACCTCCCGAAAGTCAGCACTGAACGCAACATTGCAATAGCTCCTCTTTACAGCTTATATTACGGGACACGGCCCATTCCAGACCTACTTCAATAGACCATGGCATAACAACCACGGACATATGCGCCTGCGGAGCGGAAGGCTCCCCAGACCACTATGTTTTTGAATGCCATCTGACAGCAGGAAATCACCTCCCTCTTCCTATCAACAATAGTGAAGCTTATCACCGCTTCCTTATAAAGCACAAACCGGCAGTAAATACAATTTGCAAAGTTGTTAACAAGCTCAAGAGAATGGGCCAAGATTTGTGCTCTCCTCATTAACCAAAACTCTCAAGACATGATACATTCAAGACAAGTCAGCATGCAGTTCCACATTCTCAGACACATAAGTGTACTCCTAAAATTTACATAAGTCCCTATTACAGACACCTTTCAAATAATGTACAATCAAATGTATTTAACATTTCCTCTTCTGTATATGCATAATACTTAATTTTTTTTATTTTTATTTATTTATTTTATTTTTATTTTTATTTTTATTTTTTTCCCTATGAGCCTGTATTTTGATCCTATTATTTCGTAACTGTATTTTTGTATCTGTATATTTAATTTGTATTTTTATTAGAATTTTATAGTGAATGTGCAAAATTACCATAGGAAATTGCAACAACAAACGTCAAAACGGTAAAACGAATGCAATCTGCCCTTGTATGGCCATGTAAATGATCTTGTTAACATCCTAAAAAGCTCCCGAGGCGGCCTCTTGAGGCCCCAGGGAGTTATTCCTGGTTAGTGGAGGGCGCGGGACACATGCCTGTTTACCTCTGTTAGACATCAGGCGTCCCCGTCCTCCGTTACCAACCAACCAACCAACCAACCAACTTTGCTGCATTCATTTTTTCTAAACGAATTTCAATAATGAGAGAGATTAATATTGAAAGCACTTCATTGGAATTTCTGATAAATCCACTGTAACTATAAATAACCAAAGTTATTCACAATCTAGCAATTCGTTCAAACTCCAGATTCCCACGGTTATTGACGTATCTTAAACTAGAGCAATTTTCCAAAGTTCTTGCAACGCATTCAAGTATGAAAGGGGACGCATTT